CTTTTTTAAAAGGGCAAAAGTTAACTTCAGTTTGGGGGTTTTGTTGGGTTGTCTGCTTTTAATGTCTTTAAGAGGAAAAAAAGAAACTCCACTGATTTTACCCAGACAGCTCTCCATCTCATATATCTTTACTTTTCCCAGCACCTAATGCTATCTCTGACATACAGAATGTATTCACTAATACCTACTGATTCAAAGAAACCTCTCATGCTATATTCTTACTTTCTTGATAAGATAAAATACAGAGTAACCGTAGCCAATTTTATTCATGCAACCATAACCTGAAGCACCACTATTTATCTGGTAATGGTACATGAAACACAATGTGCTGAAGGAAACAGAACTGCCTTAGAAACACATATCTATAAATTTAGAAACTTCAAAGGAGATATTTCATGTAGAGGAATTTTCAAAATAACTGATACTTACCCTTTAAATCACTATAACATCTTTAAACAATCATAATGAAAATATTTTAAAAGAGACTTCTAGGTCTTTTTTCTCTGCCTCCATCTACATGTGATATAATCTTTTCTTGATGACTCAAGCTCATCAATGTAAATGTCAATTATTAGACTATTCTGTAACACAGTGACTCTTGGAGTTACTGAAGGATGTTGCAACTGTTCTTCTCTCCACTAACTCATCCTGAACTACTTTAACAATGTTTCCTGCTGCCTGCTCCCCAGTTGTCACTTACAGGCCACCAGCATCCTAGCCACGGCTTCTAAAATGCCAGTTGTAGTTTAAAATATGTACAACCTGAATAGGCAGTTGATATACTTAACCATATACAGATTCTAAATCAAGCCCTGGAGTAGCTATTTTCACTGCTCTAAGGACTAGCTCAAAGGCTTTTCTTCTTTCACTTCCTAGTTCTGAGACTCAGTCTAGGCAGTTGCTAGAAGTCTGGTCACAAAATAGCAATTACAGTAGAAGTTATTTCTGCATGTTCTCTTTATTTTTATTATAACATATGGAAAAACATAAATGATACTCAAAACACACAAAACAACCATGCAGACAAATGATGTAAGGCAGCTCACATTATGTGCTATATGGACAATTAACTAGCCAATTATTAGCCAACAGTCAGCAAAGTAGGCCCGCTGGTCAAATTCTGCGATTGGAAGAAAACAAATAAAAAAGGATATTCAACAGAGACTATAAGTGGCCCACAAGGCCTAAAGTATCAGCTATCTGGCACTCTACAGAAAGTCCGCTGATCCCTGATATAAGCTGTAATAAACACACACATATAAAATATATAAGCTATTCCTCAAACATAAAGCTTAAGTTATTAATATGTCAAAGTAGATGCAGCATTCTTCCAGTGATGGCTTCACAATGATACAGCCAAACTGCCCTGTCCAGCACTGCCTATCCTTCTTGACCATGTCATGGCACTCAGCGAAAATCTTGACTTTAACCTTCTATTCTTCTTCCTCCTGATACTTACCCTCTCAGGCTGGTCTCCTTGAATGTCTTTCCTTTTGCTTGATCCCGAAATCCTTCCTAAGATTCAAGTCTGACTTCTTCTGAATGCCTTCCAGGATCATTCCTGCCCTCCGTAGCCTCATTTCCCTTTAAATTCCAGTCCTTGCCACATAATTTAATAAGGCCATCTTGTATTTTTTGTTAAGGATTTCTTGTGTTTTAGTCTAGTATCCCCAACTAGTCTGTAAACTACTTGAAGGAAGGAAACACATCCCATTGCTTTTGTATACCCACTCTAATAGCTCACCATCCTCTGAGCATGTCATCTTCCCAGAGATGACACATGCAACTCTCTACCTTGAGGAAGAAAAGCCTGAGGCCTGGCAATGGGTAATAAGTGATTGGAAATATCAAAGGAAGACACCTACAAAGGAACTTGATGTAAAACCATAGGTTACACCACAAACTTATAAAGTAGTATGTGAAAGGTAAGCAAAACTACCACAGTGGGAGGATGGAGATAAGATCAAGGGATAAAGAGGCCATGGCATAACACTGTGAAATAAAATGAGGCCAAAATATTAAGAAAATAGTAAAAGCTCCCAATACAGGTTAAAAAAATTGTCTTTCACCATTATTGGTCATTCATTTCTTTTAAGCAAGCAGCTCTCAACACTGATATCCCCAGGGGCCATTTTTCTTTTTCTTTTTGCAATGTGATAAACAGAAGCACTGAAAAAGACTCAGTGGAATTGCAGGCAGAGCATTCTAAACCTTTGTATTTACAATATTGTGAATTTATTTGAAATCTGCTAGAGACTGCTCGGGGGAATAAAGCAATCATTTATCTTTTGATCACCTGGCTAATAAAATTGGAAATCATATGCAAAGCCCTACATCATTCTGAAAGACATCATCTAGACTCATTTCATAGAAAAATGCATCAAGAACATTTTTTAAAAAAACAAAACCTTTAGGTTACCTCATCAAACTGTATTTTAAAAATACAGGCAAAATAGAAGATGCACAAGCCTTGGGTATATACACATTAAAATATACAAGTATTTTTTAAACAGACATAACTATTACCCATAAATCTAAACTAAAATTATAAATTAAATGCTCTTTACCTAAGAAAAGCTACAAAAGATGATGAAAATAGTAATCATGCATCCCTATTCTTTTCTGGGTTTTGTAGCCTCTCAATCCTGACCTTTGCCTGGCTGGTCAGAGAAGAGGAAGAAATTTTTTCTTAATCAGTAATAAAATATGCTCAATATTATACCATAGAACTTAAAAATTTAAAACATTATTATTAAATGCAGGAGAAAATAAATCAGCTTTCAGTTACTCATATAAAGGGGGAAAGTGATGACACAGACGACATCAAAAGGTAACCCTAAATCTATTTTTTTGAATGCATATCATTAATTTGGGAGAAGTAAATTACCCCTATGTTTGATTGAAACCAATGTTAACCAGCAGTTCATTTTTCCTAAACAGTCAATGATTTTTGAGGGTTCAGACAAAATGGAAAAAGAGGGAGTTCATTCAGAAGCATACAGGTGGTTAAAAGCAGCCAGCCTGGGATAAAAAAAATTTCAGTTAACCTACCCAGGAAAACTGAGACATGTTCTCTGAAAGGAAAAAAGAAAATTTCATAAAATTTACTGTGATAGTGCTAAAATTCTGAAACAAAATTATTTATAAAAATTTTAACAAATATTTTCTTTCCTGTCAAGTCAGTATCCTCTGTTCCCACTAACTGGTATAAGTGGTGATGGCAAGAATTATCAGTGGGTTAAGAAGCTGAAAGCAAAATTTTAGGCACTACATTATAGAAGATGTGTTACAACAAATCCTTTTTATCACTGTTTTAAGTCCACCATCTGCCTCAGTGTGCACTTTTATCTCATTACTTAAGCAAAATCAAATCGACCGAGAAAATATCAAAAAGGCAGGAGACTCATTTCTCTGGACTATTTTCAGGTGATTTAAAAGCTTACACGATGGCAAGAACTACAGATTTAGCAAATACACAAAAACTAAATATTTATCCAAATACAAGATCATAGCCATAAGACTCAATTAGTTTCTGCCTAACATATGGCTCCGACTCCTGGGTGGCATATGTTTAGCACTAGTGCTGGTACTATCATGGTGATAAAATATTATAGTAACAGTTCAACTTTTCATTCTTATAGTACAGAAAAATACCAATTTTGCTTTCAAGAACTAAAAACACGGAAAGAAGCAAAATCGTTTTGCCGCTCAATTTTGAGTCCACAAATCTACATGCACATGAGCTTTACAGAGTCAAAAAAAAAAAAAAATTTGTCAGCCTGGTATTCTTAGTTAATAGATGCTCAGACACAAAGGTATCCAAAGGAACTTACATGAAATTTCACAAAAGAAAATCCCAAATTTACGATTCCTAGCACCCCCACTATCCATTAACCACCCCTTTTCCCCACACAAAAATATCCCACGGGTTTTTTTTTTTTAAACGCTAACAATTTAATAAAAGAACGACTAACACTAATTAAAATAGCCGCTTTTCTGCCCGCGATTTTACGGCTAAATTATGAGTTCATTTTCCTTTACCTAACACATGACGTCCTTCCACCGCCGTGTCAAAAGTTCAAAGATCCAGGTTGTTAAACAGGGCGAGGACTGCAGCCTGGAGTCCAACCCCCCCGCGACTGAACAGGTGGTTAACTCAGCCGGCTGAAGGAACGGCCAGGTACCGGCACCAGCCAAACAAGATCCAACACACCGGGGCGGGTTTTCGAGGTTTGAACCCCAACAGGCGCGGGAGGAAAGTCTCTTCAGAGGGGCGTTCAAGTTCGGCGGCCGCCGGGCGGCCACAACCCCGGGCGACTGCGGACGCTCGGCGATCCTCTCCGGGAGGGCTCCGGCACTCGACCCCCGCGCCGCCAGGAGCGGCGCTGCTCGCCGCGGGCCGCTGGCCAGGGGGGGGGGGGCGGAGGGTGGACCGCCTGCGCCCCCGCGCCGCCTCCGCGGGCTGGTGGCGGGGCCGTGGCCGCGCCCCCGCGAGCGCCTCCCGGAGAGACTCGGGCCCGGCAGGTGCCCGACAAGCGGATGCGTCCCGCCCGCGGCCCACTCCCCGCCCTCGCAGAGCGCGCGCCCCCAGGACGGGCTGGGCCGCGCCCCTCGACGGGCCCGAACCCCCGCTCGGCGCCCTGGCCCTTCACACTCAGCCTAACGGTTTCCGTGACGCCTGCCCCGGGGCGCCACGGGACCGGGACGCCTCAGTCTCGCCCGCCTTTCCCGAAGGGAGCGCCCGCGCTCTCACCTCCGAGTCACGCCGCTCTGAGGCGGAGGAAGGCGGCTACCCCGGCGCCTCTTCTTCGGGTTCCTGATCGTCCTCGCTCCACCTCAGCGGCAGAGCCAGCTCTCGGGGCCGCCGCAGCCGCCGGCGCACTGACTGTTGGGGTGGTTTCCCGGCAGTGACGGCGCTGCCTCAGCCCCGCTCCTCGCTCCCTCTCCGCGTAGCTCCCGCTTTCTGTTTCACCCGAGGGACCGCGAACGCCGCCGCCGCCATGCTTACTACGGAGCCGGGAGGAGGAGCCCGGAGTCGGCTCGCCGAGTGCGGCTGCGCGAGCCCCGCCGACGGCGCCCCCGGCCGGCCCGGACCCCGCGTCCCCGCCCCGCGCCAGCCGCCTGCCGCCCCGCGGGTCTTTCCCCGGAGCGCCGGGCGGCCGAGTAACCCCACCTCGCCGCAACCCGGGACGCCCACCGCCCTCCCGGGCTCCGGGCTCTCTTCCGAGGCCCGCCTGCGCCCGAGTCGTCGTAGCCGCCGCGGCGGCCGGGCTGCTGGCGACACTAGGGACATGAGTTAATAATGGACGTTCCTGGGACCACTCACACAATTCTCAGTCCAAACTCTAAAAGACTCCCTGTGAGGCGCACCGGGTCTGTCTCTTTCCGAAAGCACAAAACTTAATGCCGGCAGGTGCTTTTAAAGACACTCCCCCAAAGAATAGGAAGCCAACCGAAGTGGGCTTGGATGTTTTCAATTCCAAACGCTTTAGTGCCCGGGATCTCCTCAGCAAGCAAAAATACTTAGATATTTACTGCAGTTGAAAATGTGGGGGTTAGTTTTTTAGCCTCTTCCCCAGTCAAATCGCGTGGAATCCCATTACCTTAATTTGTTCAACAGCCCGAAGACCTGGAAGGGAACGCAGCCGAGATTTCCCTGAACCTCCAGCGACTGGGGGCGCTGCAATAATGCCTGAGGGCTGCCCTGGGCTGCTTCCTTTTGCGGGTTCTACTAGAAGACTTGGGATGGGGGTAGTCCTTGGGACGGGGAGTCTAACCGAGGAACGCTCCCTTCAGAAACAATGGTGATGTAACCAGGCTTCTTTGTCTGGCTTTATTTCGGTTATTAATTGTGCTGCCTTTCAAAAATAGCAGTGCTTTTTTCCTCCACCTTTTAACAGGAATCCTTTGAAAATGTATTTATTCCCTGCCTTCTTAAGGAATACAGTGGTTAATGAAATCCCTTGTTGATGACTGGCCATCAGATGCCATAGCTTGGCCATAACCTAAAATCCCAAAAGATTGCTGAGGTATATAGGGTCTCTACTTAGGTGATCTCTTTTTTTTTCTCTTTGAAATGTTCTCACCACCTTTTCTAATACCTGTTACTGCTTCTCTTCTTATCTGCCTCTTGAACCACTCAGATCCTTCCTCTCATCCTTTCTGCTTTACTGTTTATTTTTTACTCTTTTCTCCTTTCTTGTGTGCTTTATCTCTATGGCTCCAGGTAATGATTGATGAGGTGTTTATATCCACAATCAGCCAATAAGAGATTTGTTTTCTTCCTCTTTTTCCCATCAGTAAATAGGACAGTAACTCTATATCAAGTAGTATCTTGAGATATTTTCGTTGTTGTTCACTCTCAAAAGTTCTTTTCCTGCGCGCGCGCGAGAGAGAGGTGTTTCCTTTTCTTAACTTCCAGATTTGGCCCTCTTCCAGACAATTGCTGGAAAGCTGATCTCTGAATAACTGAAGGATAACTGTATGTTTTAAAATAGGAGGATTTATCAGAGTGTGGGCGAGTTCGGTGGCTTCTCCATATTGCTTCCCTAGCTCTATTTGGTCTGAGACTACACTAGTGGTTTCCCAACCCAACTCTAAGTAATTTCCAAAGCTTCCTATTCAGGAGCTTTTTAAAAAAACAGAATCTTGTAATCTATCCCTCAAGATTTAATTCCTTTGGCATTGGGGTGGGGGTGAGGGGAAAAAATGTCATTTTAAAAAGCTATATTATTAAAAATTATATTTGGGGCATACCTACATGTATAGGCACAACAGAAAAGAACAGCTATTTTGGAGGGGACTAAGACATAATTCAGAATACCATCGAAGTAGACATAGATTAGTCAACAGTATGTGATGCTGTAAGGTTGAGTCACGTGAGGACTGGGGAATTTATGTTCTGTGGAGAGAATGAATCACACACATAAATAACCCTAGCATGGCCACCAGTATGAATCCTTTGGGAATCCAGAGAGGGACACGGATTTACACTGACTTTGAACAAGTCACTTCTCAGTGCTTCATTTTGCTTATCAATAAAGTTATTTAAAATCCTCATTTTTCTTGAGCTCTGAGTAATATCCAACACTTATTTCCTTGAATAGTTCTTCCTTTGGCACTATATTCTCTTGGCTTTTCCCGCTACCTTTCAGGCTATTGTTTCTCTAATTCCCTCACAGATTTCTTCTCCTCTCCCTAACTGTTAAATATAGGAGTACCTCACAATTTAGTCTGAGTTCTTTTCTGTTTTCATTATAATCTCTTGGTCTAAACATCATCACCGGCCCCAGTTACTTTAGTTATCATCAAAAGTTGATGATTACCATGTATGTGTCTATATCCCTGACCCTTATCCTAAATTCCAAATCAACTGCTTCATTAACTTATTCACTTAAAGTCTCAAAGTTACAAAGTTTAGACCAACTTAGTTGATAAACTCTTCTTGTTTTCCTTTCTCCTCATCTGTGTGTGTGTGTGTGTGTGTGTGTGCACATTTTAGTTGCTCAGTTGTGTCGGACTCTTTATGACCCCATGGTCTGTAGCCTGCCAGGCTCCTCTGTCCATGGGATTCTCCAGGCAAGAATACTGGAGTGGGTAGCCATTCCGTTCTCCAAGGGATCTTCCCGACACAGGGATTGAACCCAGATCTCCCACATTGCGGGCAGATTGTTTATCATCTGAGCTATCAGGGAAGCCCTATCCTCATCTATCCAGTTGTTCAAATCAAACAGGCAGTAGTCGCCCCCTGATATCTCCAGGAGATTCATTGCAACACCAAGTTCTGGCAATTTTCTCTCCAAAATCTCTCAAATTGGCTTACATCTTTCCTGTTGTCACCAATCTAATCTGGTCTCACTGTATGTGATCTGAGCCCTTCCATCAATTCTCCACTTTGCAGCTAAAACAGTTTTTCTAAAAGCAAGTAAGACTATTCTTCTTTTCACATAAAACCCTTAAACAGCATCTCCCTGCTCTAAGATAAGACTAGCATTCTTAAGGTGGCCTAACAGAGCATGTGAGGTCTTGCCTTTTCTAGTCTGATCTGACACCACTCTCCCCTGGTTTCCTGTGTGGAAGACTTCCCCACCACCTTTTATATTCTCAAACATGCTGCAGTCCCAACAGCACAGGCTCTCTGAACATGAACCTCTTCTCCCTTTTAACTTGAGTAAGGAAAAAACATTTCTAACTTCCCAGACAAGTTCAAGGCCCCTTGTTGATGAAGCCCTTCTACAACTAATGTACCTTTTCCTCTATGACTTACCTCAGTTTGTAGCATTTGGTTGGAGAAGGAAATGGCAACCCACTCCAGTATTCTTGCTGGGAAAGTTTCATGGACAGACGAGCCTGACAGGTTACAGTCCATGGGATTGCAAAGAGTCAGACGCGACTGAGCACACACATGTAGCATTTGGTATGCGTACATACTGCATATGTGTCTGTTGTTCCCTTCAAGAGGAGAAGGACTGAACCTATTTTTGCTTACATAGTGCCTGACATTTAATAGCTGCCCAATAAATATTTCTTAAATGAATGTTGTCCTCTGAGGTTCCTTTTGGCATTCTGGAAAGTTGTTGAGTCATGCAATTAGGAGATCAGAGAGAGGAAACTTCTGTATGATTAGTAAAAAGAGATATGGTATACATTGGCAGACGATTCTTCACGGAGCTGTCATATTTCAGTACATCTAGTAAGCAGAGACACCAACAGTTTTGCTCTAGACTATCTTTTCCAGATGTTTGTATATCAGAAGGTTGAGATCGTGTTTCCCACTGGAGCAGGAGGCACACCTTGTTTACCATCCAGTATGATAACTTCTCCTTCTGTAGTGAAGGTTGAATGAGTTTACCTGTTCAGTTCAGTTGCTCAGTCATGTCTGACTCTTTGCAATCCCATGGACTGCAGCACGACAGGCCTCCCTGTCCATCACCAACTCCCAGAGCTTGTTCAAATTCATGTCCATTGAGTCAGTCATACCATCCAACCATCTCATCCTCTGTTGTCCCCTTCTCCTCCCACCTTCAATCTTTCCCAGCAGCAGGGTCTTTTCCAGTGAGTTGACTCGTTTGATCTCCTTCTAGTCCAAGGAACTCTCAAGAGTCTTCTCCAACACCACAGTTCAAAAGCATCAGTTCTTTGGCACTCAGTTTTCTTTGTTGTCCAACTCTCACATCCATACATGACTACTGGAAAAACCATAGCTTTGACTAGACGGACCTTTGTCAGCAAAGTGTTGTCTTTGCTTTTTGATATGCTGTCTAGGTTGGTTATAACGTTCCTTCCAAGGAGCTAGCATCTTTTAATTTCATGGCTGCAGTCACCATCTGCAGTGATTTTGGAGCCCTCCAAAATAAAGTCTCTCACTGTTACCATTTTCCCCCCATCTATTTGCCATGAAGTGATGGGACCAGATGCCATGATATTCATTTTTTGAATGTTGAGTTTTAAGTGAAAAGCCAACTTTCTCACTCTCCTCTTTCACTTTCATCAAGGGGCTCTTTAGTTTTTCTTTACTTTCTGCCATAAGGGTGGTGTCATCTGCGTATCTGAGGTTATTGATATTTCTCATGGCAATCTTGATTCCAGCTTGTGCTCCATCCAGCCTGGCAATTCACATGATGTACTCTGTATATAAGTTACCTGTAGCTCATTGTAAAAGATGTAGGCTTCTTAAGCTTGAGGTTCCTCAGCTCTGATGCAAACCCACTGCATGTGCAGCATCACCTGGATTACTCCACGTTTCCCTGGCTGAGACCCGGGAGGCAAGGGAACTGCTATGAACAGGAAGCTGGTGCTCCTTGCTGTGAAAAAGTGAAAACGAAAGTCACTCAGTTGTGTCCGACTCTTTGCAACCCCATGGACTATACAGTCCATGGAATTCTCTAGGCCAGAATACTGGAGTGGGTAGCCTTTCCCTTCTCCAGGGGATGTTCCCAACCCGGGGATTGAACCCAAGTCTCCTGCATTACAGGCTGATTCTTTGCCAGCTGAACCACAAGGGAAGCCCGTGCCATGTGTAATACAGTCCTTTGACCCAGAAGAGTCAGATCTTCTGCTAGCATCCAAGAAACTGTAGTAGGCTAAGTTATTAGCTTGCAAGGAGCATAAAATCTCAGATCCTTCACAGCTCTTAACAAGATACAATGCATTGAAGCAAAAGAAAGATATGAAAAGGTCAAACAGCAGGTGGAGATTTGTCTTTTGGGAAATTTGGGGGGGAATTCTCATGAGGAAGAGAGCTGGGACAAGAGATTGAGGTAGGAGCATTTTGTTGGTCAAACCTGAGCAACCCTGGGAG